AAGTGCAAGAGCAATCACTGTAGACTTGAAAACCTAACCTGCTATGAAACTTCCTAGGGTAACTAGCCAACTGCAACCTCTTGATACATAGGCAAACAAGCCATTTAAAGCCTTAATGAAGAAAGAGTGGACATTGTACATGCAGTCAGCTAGTAATGATTTGACACCTACAGGCAGAATCAAGAAGGTGTCCATTGTCCAGGTTGTGACTAGATCCTAAGATCATGAAATGGTGACAGGAAGGAAGTGATTATGAAATTGTTTAAAAAATGTGGCACCAGCAATGCTAAGGATGGAAGTGAAGATGATGAAATTTACCATGATGAGGAAAGTAACTCTTCAGAAGATACCAGCAATGTACAAATTGAAGATAATCTTTCTGATATTGAGAGTGACAAAGAGCTCTTGGCCTTCTATGAGGTATAAATAGTACTGTTAATGTGTTCCTTGTACATAAACTTTCTTGAGCCTTGTTTCTGTTGTGTTTTGTAATTCTTTGTTTCATACGATCTCTTGTACCATAATATGTTAAAAATTAAAAGTTAAAATTCATTTGTAATACAAAAACCAAATACCGAAATATAAACAAATAAAAATTTCAATTACAAAAAATAAAATGAAAGATTTTTCCTGAAAGTTTGGGCCAAAAATGTGGATGTGCCTTATACATGGAAGTGCATTAAACATGGCAAAAGATGGTAATCTACTTTGGTCTGATTAGGGAGGTTAACAATCTAATTACGATGTATAAAATAAGAAAGAAAAGGTTCAGAGTCATGTTAATAAATTGTAACTGCGAATATTATGGATTCTATTGTTCTGCCAAAGGATTTCGTGCCTGGAATTTTTTTAAATTTAAAAATGTCTTATTAAATCTCTATTAAAAAGTAAGAATATTTACTCTTTCACACCTCTGAGAAAGAGTTATCATCTCAAAAATTTGTTAATAAGCAGGTATCCCATTATCACCTAGTACTATGTTCCAAACTGTATAATTCTACCAGCTACAATGATCTTCCTTATTTTACAACAAAATTGGTCTCCCTATAGTTTTCATCCATTAATTCAGTTGTATAATCTTCCTGACAAATTTTCCTTCTGTATGATGACCATCTTTCAAATACCAGTTTTGCCAAGACTTCACTTGCAATCTATAGTCCCTGGCTCTTTCAACAATTAAAATAAAATGACTGCCCAACCTTACACTACCCTACGCTATTATTTTTAGGGCATTAGTAGCCCTTGTAAAAATTCCATCTGCAACTGATTCCAGATAGTGGAACTGAACTTACAAATTACTTCCAGATAACAGAGGTGGTTACTTATTATGTATTTTAAGAAAGTGCATAGTGTGGCTAACTCATAATCTCTCTGAAGAAAAGGGCTTTGGTAAAAAATTGCGAAATAACTTACCATAGACATCTGGGGGTCAGGAACTTTCACTAATTCAAAGCTTGTTAAAATTGGAGATGATTCATCACCATCCTAGAATACAACACAATAAATTAAGAAATAAAGAAAATTTAACCAAATGTTAAGAAATAATACGATGTTGTATACGTCAATGCATTTTAATCCTATTTAATGAACATCTTTCCTCTCTTAAAACAAAAACCTTATTTTCTTTCAACTACTATAAAATATATGCCTGCTTTTTACCTCTTTTGTTGTTAAGAAAATGTTTTAAAAAAATAAAATCTAACAAGAATTTGTATTTAGTTTTACAAAAATAAGGTCTGGAAATTTAATAGATTTGGTTTTGGTCGCTCTTTTTTTCTAATAACTTTATTCATAATAACAGTTGATCAAAAAAGTTGTGCTACTTTTCAAGCTTAGAAAAAGAAACCTTAGACCACGGTTACAATATGGAACAAGAGACGTGTTGCATCATTTGCAAAATCTTAGTGAATGTTGGTAACTTTTCGAGGTACCACAATTGAGATCCATTCAAAAGAGCAGAATTTTAAGAGAGTTGTTAACATTACTCAAATTTATGAACAACTAGAGAAGCAGCAACACTATTTCTCAAAGGTCTAGATATTCACTGCAAGCTAGACTTGAATAACAAAAATCAATCAGTTTTTAAGAAGTAAAGCTAACTTATTTTATTATCATTTTTGAAGAATGCTGGCTTTTATTTTTATCCAGTTCAGGCAAGAAAGGTAATACAGCATAATAAATGTCACTCCCAAATATACCAGAAAAGACTAAACTAATTAAGGTGAAATTGATTTTCTATGATTATATATCCAGCATCAAGCTTTTCTATCACTTTCCAAATGTGCGTGCATATTTGATTTTACATATGTGCCTCAAAATCAAGAGGGATGGAAAGAGGGGGAAGCACGGGCAACTTTACTTCAGCTCAGTAATTGAGTCTTACAGAAAACCACAAATTCCCACAGCCGTTGTTTAACAGGCTTGTTCTCAGTCACAACACCAGAAAACACATTTATCAGCCCAACTGTGACAAGTAATCTTCACTAAGGCTATCTGTCACAAAAGACAGGTGACAAGAAAGTCTATTTCCATTAGATTCAATACACTGGCCTAGCAATCTTCACACTAAGTGGAAATATGACAGAGTGGGTAGACAGGCATTAATTTATGAGCAATTTTCAGGAAGCAATAGAAAGGGGTCAAGAACCTTTTCAAAATGCTTGAAATTTTTCTAATTTCTATTCTGTTATTATTTCATCTGCTATCAAAGCTGTCTTTCAAAAGACCCTTCACGTCTTTGATGTTCATCCCCATTAGCATGTTTTTGCAATATAAACTCTATATGGCAGAAAATACTGCTTTTAATGAAATCACATATAAGATATTTTATTAAAACTTACTTGTGACAAAACAATTTCACTCACCTACATTTCCTTTTCTTCCTGATACAGTTTTTCTAATAAATTAATAAACAACATTAAATTACCTATTTTCCTACCCAAGGAGTAAAAACTAATGTTTCCTACCCTTTCACTAAAGTAAAAGGGATACAAGCTGAAGGAAAAAAATACATAAATATTAACTTGAAAAAAGTGGTCATAAGTTAACTATATAAACCCTAAACTTTCACTATAAAAGCTTTCAAATAGCACCTTAATGTTATAAAGGTATGAGTATTTCAAAGATCACTTGGGACAGTGTCAACAAATAACAATAAAGTATAAATTCAATTTAAAAGGGCTGGGCTTAATGAACAAATATATGGTCTACAAATTTAGTGATATGCCAGAAGAAATATTAATTTACTATTACTCCATGTATCAAAACTCTTTTTTTTTTTTTTTTTTTTTTGAGACGGAGCCTCAAGCTATCCCCCTAGGTAGAGTGCCATGGCATCACGCTCACAGCAACCTCCAACTCCTGGGCTCAAGCGAGTCTCCTGCCTTAGCCTCCCAAGTAGCTGGGACTACAGGCGCCCACCACAACGCCCGGCCATTTTTTTTTTGGTTGCAGCCATCATTGTTGTTTGGCGGCCCGGGCTGGGGATTTGAACCCGCCACCGTAAGTGTATGTGGCTGGCACCTTAGCCGCTTGAGCCACAGGCACCGAGCCCATGGATCAAAACTCTTGCTTCCACTTGTCCTGATGCACTTGTCTAGACAAGTGTTCAATAGAAGATACATCGTCTATGTAGTTTCATACTATGTATACAAAATTATTCTTTGGAACTCAAAGAAAACATTTAAGGCAGTTATTTTTCAAGTAGCTACATACCAGATACAGAACTACTTTCTTCTACATAATGAGCCGACCAGAACAAATCCATAACTGTACATTTGTTATTACTCAGCCTGATGGTAACATGACTTTTTAACTTTTGTATATATGATATAAATAAATAAACATTTATAAAGTCTTTCACAGGCATTCTGTTAGGGTCACATATAGAATTCCAACCCATTACAAATATGCACAAGAAACAAACTCTTTACTTCCCCTAGCTTACCACTTAAAAAATATGATTTCCTCTTTTTACATTTTAAATGAATAATAATTGTAAATAAAGCTATTACTTCAGTGTCTTACTTGGCAATTTGCAGAACAATTAATCAAAAAGTTTTTAATCACTTGCATACTTATTGGATTCCGCAACCCAGAACCACATTACATGAATGATTGGCTTTTGTAATCTTGTTGCAGCTATATGATTTGATTTGTGTATACATAAACAGCTGCTGCTGACAGCTGTCTGCTGCTATCCTGCAACCAAGTAATTCATCTCAGCAGGAATGACAGTCATTTTTTTTAATGTTTCCCCTCCCCTCTACTTTAGAGACCGAAAACATTTCCAAGGCAAATACCTTTTCATAATATACAATACCATACTCCTTATCGTCACACTTGACACATCGAAACTCAACCATCAAGTACATGAAATTAGAACTTCGTTTTTCACTCTAAAACAAAGAAAAAAGATTTTCATAAAAAAACATTTTCCGTATTATCTTATCAGTATGTATTATTTTTCCCAATTCAGTAATACACGCATATATCGAGTACAAGTTAAAATACAACAATTTTTTTTCATAGTATATATGAAGTATTTTACACAACACTATTACTATACAGGGTGGCCACCCTTTATAGAGCACTACTGTTTTATTCATTAATGTCTACTGGGTACTTGTAACTGCGTCCTCAAACTCAACATTTTAATTTTTTCAGTAATTTGGGATTTATTACCGAAAAACTTGAAGGTATTTTGCATACATTTGCACAAGAACTATTTTATGCCAAAAATAAAAGTAGATGCTTTTGTACTTATAACAATTTTAAGCAAAGAGAAGTTCACCCTTAAACTAATATGACTAAGCCAACTACAGAAATTAATATAAGTGTAAGTTTAAAAAAAAAAAAAAGAGTGCTTTTAAAGAGAAAGCCATCTGACCTTACCAAGTATAACCTTTACAAGTTTTTCACATTTTATAAATGGTCGCAACATGATTTGTCATTTGGAAATTTTTAGCCACTCTGAGGAATATACTCCTTTCCCTGACATAAAAAAATGCACAGTCATGTGATGCTCAACCACAGGAACACACTCTGAAAAATGCATCATTAGGCAATTTTGCTGTGCAAACACCATCGAGTATGCTTACCTAGGCTACAAAGCTACAGGGTGTGCTACTGTACTGAATACTGTAGGCAATTCTATCACAATGGTTAAGTATTTGTGTATCTAAACATATCTAAACAAAGAAGAGGCACAGTAAAAATCTATCATTATAACCTTATGGGATCACTATCGTACATGTGGTCTATGCCTGACCAAAAATGTCATTAGGATGATGAAGTGAAAATACATTGAAGTCTAAAAGGTGGATTTACCTTGACCCAAAATAGCTCTATAAATGGCTTTAAGTTTAATGCATACAATCACAAAGGTCTAACGAGGTTACTTAAATTGTTCAGCTTTATGAAGCATATTATAGTCTATTATGGTAATGGTCTCCTATCTTTTAAAGAGTGGCGGTGAGGAATATGAGAAAGGCTGGACAAAATAAACTCTAACATTACATTTTCTATACCCAGAGATACCTAAGTTGAAGAACAGAAAAATAACAAGCATTTTAATTGAACTATTTTTAGAATGTGACTATTATAAAAATTGAAAAAATAAAGCTTTCTAAAAATAAATAAAGTTTTCTTTCAGTTTGAGAATATCATAATATATTATGAATACATTCTTACAGGGGTTAACTTGATAATCTCACATTTGTGAGATACCTAAAAATAAACAATTATCAAACATTGTCAACTTGGAAATCTGGAGAAAAAATTTTCAAATAATAAAGAAGGATACAACTTACCTCGTTTATCATTTCTATTTCTCTAAACGTCAACCTGTCCAGCCAATCTACCTTTACCATGTGTCCTTGTCGATGAGCTTTCGTAAGCTGCAGAACAAACACAACAGGGAAAGTTTTAATGTAGATCTCACTGAAAGGAAAATAAAGAATGGTAACATCAATTTCACATATAATATATTCCTGTACACAGCAAAAACCGTATGCTACTATCTGGGTAACAAATCTGGCAAAAGAGAAACCATTGTTTTTTTGAAGAAAAACAATTGCAAAACATTTTTCTGTGAAAGGTCCACAATCTGCCATGCTGACATGCTAAAAAATAAAAAAATCTTTCCTGAAATTATGCCTCTGTTTTACATTTGTTATATTTTTGACTATTAGAAAGAGAGGGAATTAGAAAAAGAATACTTCCTTAAATGGTAAATAAATCACCTTTTCTATTTTCTTCCCATTTTCCAATCTAGCAACATGATGCAAAATGACAGTGACAAACATGAAGGCATTTTCTCTGGGACTTACAAATTAATACTCTAAGGCTTAAGCTCCACACTTATGCATACATGCTTTAACTTTAGAAAACAGTGGCAACAGAGATTTAACTTTCCAGCATGGAAATTGGTAGAGTCCTGTGAGGTTTCACATACCAATCTACTCTTAGTTTTATGAATTAAATAGAAATAGATTGACTCTTCAACTCCACAGAAAACTCAAGCTAAGTTCCAAGGTCCTCAAATTAGAACTAGGTTTTGTATTACAAAGTGTAACACTACATACCAGCTTTGTGTATGTATCAAAACTCCCTTTCTTTCTTTCTTTTTTTTCTTTTTTTTTTTTGGTGGAGACAAAGTCTCACTTTGTCACCCTAGGTAGAATGCTGTGGCATCATTGCTCACAGCAACCTCAAACTCCTGGGCTCACGCAATCCTCTTGGCTCAGCCTCCAAATAGCTGGGACTACAAGCACCTACACAACGCCCAGCTAGTTTTTAGAGAGAGCGTCTCATTTTGCTCAGGCTAGTCTTGAAGTCATGAACTCAATCAATCCACCCGCCTTGGCCTCCCAAAGTGCTGGGATCCCTCTCTTTCTTTCTAAACAAATTCATAGCACAAAGCAAAACTGGGCATCAAGGCTTTGCATACTAGCTAATCTGTATTCTTCTGTATCTTCCTCTTCCTTGTTCAGGGCATGACAACATTCCTATAAGGACGCCAAGCACTAACACCAATTATTATCTCTCTCACAGAACCACATATCTTCATCAATATTCTTCATCTTCTTCAACTCTCATCACAACTATGGGTCATAGTATCACAGAAATAAAAACACTGACCTCACACAAAAAAGTCTGAGGTTCACCATAATATAAAAATAATACCAAAGTAGCTTTCATCTAAAGATAATTCCTTATCATCTGAGGTAATCTCTACATGAATATGCATAAATGGTATTAATAAGTCCTTAGCATTAATTATTCACCCAGAGCAGTAACTAAATATTTGTAGTTGCTGGTTCTGATGGAATATTAGACAAATATGCCAGCCACATGGCAAGAGACACATGAATACTGTATTTTGACAAGTATAACATACCAAAATTGTGCCCAAATTTTTGAGGTGAAAATAATGCTGTATGTCACATATGGGTAGTTCATCTTAGTGATACAGGACAGGTGGTGCCCCAGCCAGCTGACCTGAGCTGAGCTGGAGGGCTAACTTAGTCCTGGTGGTGTTGGTGCAATGGCAGCCCACAGGGGAACCAGTGGGCTGGGGAGGTGGGGGGAGGTGGTTGCAGGAGGCTCCAGTGGGGAGACACTAGCTCCATAGGTTTCCCTCCCTGCGCACTTCCAGCTGAACAGAGATACCCCACCTTTTCTAGGCCTGGTCAATTTCATATAAGTTTCCTAGACATGAATGAAAGGATTGTAGTCATTCATTACCTGGGTTCTGGCCCCAAGCCACTAAATGTAACAACTGAGTTCAGGCTGAATGTAACTTTAGAGGACCCACACCAGCTAAATATGCAACTGACTATATATACCCCTGAGCTCCGGGAGAGACAGAGAGAGCCAGAGAGCTTTTCCCCAACCTGGGTTCTCTCTGCTTGGAGCTTTGGCGTTCTTCTATTATTTTTTTCTGTAAATAAATCCTGTCTTACCACTGATCTGTGGTCCGTGGATTCATTCTCCGAATCATGGAGACCAAGAACCTACTGAAGACAAAATTCCTCTATCATTAGGAGCAGGGGAACCCAGTGGGCCTCCTGGGGCTGTTGCACCTTCCTGCCTGGGCCACCAGGTACAGAGTTCTAGTCAGAGAGGATCCAGGATCTGATAGGAGTGGCCCTGAGCAGCCTGCACTGAGCACTAAGAACGGGAGAGGGCAAACCATAGCTGGCAAGGTAGGCCATGGCTGCCACAGGTCAAGAGCTGAAGCCCAGAGGCCTGGTCCTATGGAGGTGGAAGCCCAGAGCAGGCCCAAACACCTGCCCGGCTGCATTGGGCTAAGCAACTTCAGAAGCTCCTTCCCCATTGGCCACATGTAAGCCATGGCCCATGACACGGTGGGGTGGGAAGGACTCCCGGGAGGAAGGGAAGGGGCAGCCTTCATAGAGCCAGCAACTGCAGGAGGGCGGTGCGATCTGAACACTTAACAGGGGAACATTAGCTGCCCCACATGGGTCTCTCTTCAGGATGAGAACTGTCCACTTTCTTGAGGGGCATTTTTCCTGAAAGTTTGACCAAAAACGTGGGTAGGCATTATACACGGAGCACATTTTCCATGGGAAAGTACAGTAAGCATAAGGAAACCAAAAGATCAGATGTTGCTAAAGCAAAGAATGCTAGACTAGGAGGCACAAGACCTGAGTTCTAACCCCAACACTCCATTTTTAAATTCTGTCACTTCTGAACCCACATCAATAAAATTATTAACTATTTTATTCTAACTTCCAAAATTCCTATAATATAATTGATGCAAAATATGACAGGTGGCATTATTTTGTGTAGTCTAAGGGCTTATATTCTCACTGTGCAACATGTTCCAAACTGGTTTTTAAAATAAGTAAAAATACAAAAGGTAATATTACCTCTTTTGCTTATATGAATAAAATAACCATAAAAATTAGTAAAAAGAGCTTACATACTTCTGAAATAATGGGGGGAAATTTAACCATATTTTTAACATGCACAAATTTTGGCACTTTTTAACCACACTATTAAATAGGCAGTTTGGGGCGGTGCCTGTGGCTCAGTGAGTAGGGTGCTGGCCCCATATACCAAGGGTGGCAGGTTCAAACCTGGCCCTGGCCAAACTGCAACAACAAAAAAAATAGCCGGGCATTGTAGTCCCAGCTACTCAGGAGACTGAGGCAAGAGAATCACCCAAGCCCAAGAGCTGGAGGTTGCTGTGAGCTGTGACACCACAGCACTACATAGTGCTGTGAGACTCTAGTGCTATATAGTGAGACTAAAAAAAAGATAAATAGGTGGCAATTTTGAGCCCCATTTGTAGATGATTACCAACTACTTCTATGAAGTGGTACAGTTAGGATTTCAACCTCAGGACTGTATAATTCTAAAACCCATGATTCTACCACAAGTCTTCACTTTCTCTATTGATACACTATTACTAAGAGATTGAAGTTCAACTAATTTTCGTCACTTATAGAACATTTGTTTCATATTTATGGTACAACAGTTGAACCTCCACTAAGTTCCTATGAGGAAAGAACTAGCAATAGTAAATTAAGTTTAGATGTGGACGAATACAGAGGGCCTTTTCTTCTACTTACTAAATTACCCACACAAATCAGAAGTGTTCTAAACCATTTCCACAGGCCTCAGAATTATGTTTGATGCTAATATTTATTACTTCCTACATAGGGTATGCTTAGCTTTCCTATTTGAATACCAAAGATGACCTTTTTCAATCTTATGAAGAACCACTAAAGAATGTATGGTCAGTCTGGCAGTACTGAAATTGGTAAAGTCACTATGGAGGACAAGGGTAAATTATCCTCAACACATTCACATTTGTGCACCATTATTTCTGCAATACAGAAAAATTAGATATAAAAGAATGCAAATGTCCATCATTTGCTAAGTAAGCTATGGTATATACACGCTCAGAAATACTATAATCAAAAAAAAAATGGGAAAATCTATATACCTTGAAAAGAAATTCTATATACCTTGATATTTATTTCATTCTGGGTCTGAAATGTTAGTAACCTACATCTTTCCAATGAGAAAATCTGCATTCTGTTAAGCAATAGGTAAAAGTAGTTCTGTTCCCATTGCTAATAAAGACATAATCTTCACTAGGATGCCCATTCCAGAAAAGAAAACAGATCAAAAAAATCAGTTAAAAAGTGACATTCTCTTCTTTTAAGGAAAATAGGTTTCTACAAATTTATCAAGTCACACAGAGTTTGGAAGAAAACCTCACTGTCAGAAAAACAGTATAACTAAGCCCCAACTTAACTTCTGCAAGAATTAAATAGCAAGGCATTTAAAAATATATTTAAATCAGAGGGTCTCCAAGAACCAAATAACAACATGTTCAGTAAATTTCCTGGAATGCTAGATATGCATTATCAGATTTAATGAAGTAACAAAATTCTGTGCTCGACAATGTCTCAGATGAATAGCTGTTTAATAAAAGTAACAAGGGCAGAGCTAAAAGTAACTGTACTATACACAGACTAAGAACAGCAAGGAAAAGTAATGTCAAAGCAGACAGCGATCCTCAGAAACAGATGTCCGTGATCACAACTCACAATTCATTGCTCCTTCCTCTTATCTCACTTACTAGACTGCTAAACTTATTGGGTGCTGTGAATGGTTGACAGAACCTAGCACTTATCATTCAATGACTTCTTATACTTATTAAAAGGCTTTCTTTGTGGAAGGGTGACAGGATGAAAAACAGTGTTTGCTTACTTTGGAATTCTGCCCTATAGCTCTGGAGACTTAGGGACCAAGACCAGGGGACAGAAGGGATCAACACTCAAAAGACATCTGGAAGGAAAAAATGACTCCTGCCCTCGCTCAATTTTGTCCTAGTATTTACACACTTTTAACATAAATA